CCCCTCCCCCCCCCCCCCCCCCCCCGCCTTTTCTTACCATTACACCATACAAACTTCAACAATCAAATCCATTCTATCTTTATCTTCTTCAACAGGACTGTGACGCAAGTGAGTGAATAACATTTGTCTTGTCACCCTGTTCAACAATTTTTATTTGTTTTGTTAACTTGTTTATGTTTGATACGACTTAATTATTAGAAAACAATTATAATAAGAGTAAAAGAACAGAATAAAGAAACTCTACCTTCCCCAATTAAAATAACAATACAAGAGCAACAAGCAAACCAAGATAAGGTTATTACACCGAAAATTGAGAAGCATAGCAGGAAAAGAATTGGTTGAGGCACATTTCGTTAAGCTTACATGAGAGTGGGAAGTTGTAGCCAAGAAGAAATGCCAAACTTTGCATGGTAATAGAATGGAATCCTTTAAATATGCAAACAAACTAGTTAGATCATAATACCTCAAGTAAAACGTGAAAGCAAACAAACATCACAACTGAAATCTTTGTTGTTAATGTTTAAGCCCTTCACAGGGTCATGAATTACAGGCAACTGGGATCACAAGACAAATGAATACAATATAGACATAACTTTGTTACATATGAAAATCGTAAATAGACACTGAGGTAAGTTTCCATGAAAAAAAAAGTTAAAAACCACAAGAGTAAATTGAAAGAACAAAACCTATGGAAAACTTGTTCATACCAGGAAAATATTTTTTCGGTAAACATTTCTGCAGCACTGAAAGATCCATAAGCTGAAAAACACGAGAGAGATCAGTGTAATAATACATTCAGACAAGTCCATCAAAGTAAAAATAATCTACAATAGCACATCAAAATTAACAAAACCAGATTATATAAAGAGAAAAAAATAATTGCCAGCAGTTACTCTTATCATACTAACCAGAGAATTCTTAAAACGTTTTCATCCAAACTCATTACCAACCATCCAAAAATATCAACGATAATATGACTTCATACTACGATACCAAAATTTTCATAAGTTTAGCAAGGTGAAATCAAATTAAATTACACCAGAACAGTCCTCTTAACTCTTAACCTGTGACCTCGATACATGTATTCTGCAGATCTTTAAAGCTGCAATGTCGCATGCATCGCTAATAGTCTAATACCAATCAAATCAACAGAAAATAATATAACAAAAAAAAATGGAATTGATCGGATTTAACAATGTTCAACGAGGAAATGTTGGTTGAAGAATAATCAGAACCTGCCCAATACAATAGCCATCTTTGTTGCTGATATGGATCATTGTCCTCAATAGCTTTAAAAGTGGAATACACGGGAAGCGCAAGCCCTATAGAACAGCTGCAACGAGTAACCCAATATCACTGAAGTTTGTGTTGAGTAAGAAAAATATGATTTTTAGTAAAGTTTAGAAGAATTAAGAAAACATGATCGAAGGGAACACACTACCATGCTGTGCGGAGAAAGAGGTTGGGAGCACAGGGAGAAATGACGGTCTCAAGCTAACACTCTCGATCTCAGAACATGAAACATGAAAAACCTTGAACTGGTGTTATGCGAAAGAACATAGCATTACGGGTAACAATTCTCTGTAAAGGTAAAGATAAAATAAATAATAAAGGCATGACACAAGAAGGAAACTTTAGGGTAGGATTTCAAGAACAGTAAGGAAAATGTTTTTTTCACACATCATATCTATGTTGGTAGTATTTTTATTATTAAAAAAAAGTTAATTTTTGTATTTATAAAAAAAGAAATTAAAGAATCAAATAGTAATTGTAAACTATCTAAAAAAATTGTTAAAAAGTGTAAAAATAATACTATTTATATGTAAATATTCACTACAAGTTATTATTCTCTTCATTGTTTTATAGGGTTTTTGTAATTGATAGTAAAAATGGGGTTAGATAATTTCAACTTTATTTTAAAATTTTCAGTAGTTTTTTATATACTAAATTTTTCAATGCATATTTTTCTCTTTTACATTCTATTTAGTTTAATATCATTGATATTCATTTGATGTGACGAATCAAAGTTGACTTTAGAAATTATTATTAATCGAATCAACCTTGATTTTTTCATTCAATGATTGTGATTAAGTAATAATTATTTTAATAACGTACAGCCAATTACGGTAAATTGCACCACCTCTTCCTTGTTAGCATAATGTTGATTAAGTTATTAATATATTAGAGATATTTGGATAATATATTTATTAGCTTGTAAGATGTAATTGATGCTTCTTATTATAGAATACTATTATAATTGAAGATTTATTAAAATTAATTCATTTCTTGTAACGCATCTTGTGCAAGTCTGCTAGAGAAGGATTAGGCATTTTATATGTATATTGAATCAACTATTTTTAAAATAAAGATATCACAAGAGTTTAACTAAATTAATAATAATTTTAAACAATGACTTTCACGTGTAATAATGAAATTCAAAGGGATTTTATGTGATTTATGTTGCAAGTGATACAAATAATATATTTTAGAAAATTTCACGTAATAAAGTAAGTGAGAGTAGCTATATATAATGGATTTAATGTAGATATGATTGTTAAACGATAACCAACTAATTTTAAGAAATCTTGTGAGAACTCCATTTTAAAATTCACCTAAAAAAACCCATTCTGAGTGGAACGCTAGATGTAAGCATCGAGCGTCTTGAAGTTCAGAAAGTGGAAGACAGGTGTGGTAATGCAATTGACGAACGTGTTTTGACGTAGGTGTAAAACTGAAACTTTCAAATTTTCTCGTGCCACTTCTCTGCAGTGCACCATCCATCTTCAACCTTCTGAAATCTCCTCCTCTCTCTAGATTTCTTCATCTTCCTCTCTAAGAAATATTACCATTCCTTTCTCTGATCATCACTCAGCACCATTTCCACTCTTTCTCCGGTCTCAAGGGCTTTTCGATTGAATCCGATCAGTTTGTGAAGCTGAGCTGGTAGTTCTTCTCTCACTCAGTCGTGCATTTCCTGACATGCAAATCCAAGTTCTGGTTTCATGTGTGATCACTCTTCTAAAATGAGTGTGTTCTGATAGTGTTTTGGTTTTCACTTGATTTAGTTTTGGAAATTGTTGAGCGTTGAGGGTAGAAGGACTTATAGAGGTGAAATCAATAACCTTATCTGGAAGCGTTCGGTCACGTTAGAGGTAAGGGAAGCTTATATAATTTAATTTTTATGTTCGTTTTGAATGGATGTATGTTTGTTTGATTTGCTGATGAATATGAAATATGATTGTTGCTATGTTTTGACTGTATGAGTAGAAAATTTACTATGATATGGATGTATGAAATTATGAAGATAGATTGTTGAGAAATGAATTATATAAGAATTCTAAGTATGTAATTCCATATGAAAATTGATGTTCGTCACTGAAAGGTCTTTGACCTGTTCAGTTTTTCTTGTGAACTCGGTTGGAACTGGATTCTTTCATTTGGATAGGAATTCCAGTTGAGGACCAGCGTCTTCGTTTAGTAATATTTGTACATAAGCGTTCAACCAGGATATTCGTTCCTTGGTATTCTGTTATAAACTTGTATATATCATATATGTATTTGTATATATTATTCGTTTTGAACACTACTTAAACGGTATCTATAATTATCAAGTTTTTATTCTATAATACTGAGTAGTGTTCGGTCTTATACCAAGCACTCGTACTAAGTAAGTGTTAGGTCTTACACCAAGCGCTCGTTCTCTTTTCGTAATCTTCTTGATAATAAGAGTGTTCGTCCAAACTCATAGTGGTTCGCTCTCTACCGTGCTCGGTCTTCGACTGACATTCGGTTTTCTTGATGTTAAACTATAAATAAGCTAAGTATTTATAGTGTTTCTGATTTCTTCATATGATCCTTCAGTACTATCATTTGATGTCTTACAGTGTCTGTCTCATTGGTTTCGGCCTAGAGTCTTAGTACTCTCGGCCTAGGCTCTACGGTGTTTCGGTCTAAACGCTCAGAGTCAGTTCATTAAATTGGCTCACTTTTGTAAATACATTCAGCCCTTCTATTAGTCCTTTGTGAAATTTATTGAATCGTCTCTTCCCAACCCCGATAGTACTCTCTCGGTTTTTGATTCTGTTTTGGAACTGGAAACCTCTCGGTTTCACCTCCAATTGTTCGGTCAGTCTTTCGTGGTTGAAGTTACTTCGGTTTTGGTATCCTAAAGGTCTTTGTTCAATTGTGATTTTCACTTGAGGTTTAAATAATGAAAGATATGGAATATTATATGGATGAAAATATTGATTATGAATAGAGTATTCCGGGGATGATATCTCTGAATGGATATTGGGAATTGGGTAAAAATATGAATGTGGGCACGCTAAAGCGTGGCGGTTCATCCTGATATTCCGTGATTACTCATTCTCACGTAGGAAGGGTAAGTCATTGTGGGAATGGCAGTGAGGTCCTAGTCCCTTATTGTTATTTTTTTGGACAGATAGGACTAACCTAGGTGGCAGCTGTTGCAGGTATCCCAGTTACCTACATCACCCGTGCACGACGTCCTTAACTACCAGAATTATACAATCCGGACAGTCCAGAGTCTAGTATTAGGCTTTGCATGTAAAAGTGAATGAACTATCTCGTTTATTTGAATTGTTGTGAAAATTTGTGTTGATACTTGAATTGAATTACATAAGCTTACCCTATTTCCTGTCTTGTCGTTTTGTACGTTCGATGGGTTGGTCCTTCTGTTGCAACGATCATCCGTGTGGGATTGTAGCAGAAGGAGAAGCGTTACTGGAAGAGGCGCTGGAAGAAAAAATTTGGTATAGTAGAAAGAAAGAGGATAAAACAGAACAGGAGGAACCGTGAACATCGTTAGTTTTAGGTTAAAAGTTTGAAAAGAACAGTTGATGATAAAAAAAAGAGGAAAAAAATTGAAATGTAAAAAAGTTAACAGAATCAAAAAAAGAAATAAAAAATGAAAAAGAAAGGAAAATTAATTTCAAAATAAAAAAATAAATAGGAAAAAAAAAAACCCTTAAATTAAACAAAAAAATAAATAACCAAAAATATAAGATATGAGACATAAGAAATAAAATTTTAGTAAAAAAATAATTTAAAATCTAATTCAATTAAACATAAAAAAAAGGATGACATTACAAAAAGTTAAAAATACCCACTTCCACTCCTTCCTCTCAACCTTTTCTCTTTTAAGTCGAAAAGCGTTCCCTTGTTTATATCTTACGACTCGATAAATATGTTCGTTTCGTTAGGGTTTTACAGTTTTATTCCCCTATCTTTAGGCTTCGAATAAGAATATTTTGAAATGATCTGTAGTATTATGAATGTAATATTCCTATTAGATGACTTTACACTATATTTATAGATGTTACAATATGCATAGAAACATCTATTAGTATAATTAATTAGTCACTGTTTCTAGCAAAAATTGACCAAAATATATCTCATATGCGAACCCTAGCAAATTAGAAAATAAGTTTATCTTAAACGAAATACATAATTTTTTTTCACTTTATATAAATATTATTCTGTCGCATTACTTTCACTTTTTAATTTTCTTACGACTTATTTTAATATAATTATTTTTATAAAATTCACACTTTAATATTTTTAATTTTAATTTTTCAAAAATTTAAAAATAGTTTTTTTATTATAATTTAAAATTTGCTGCGGATATTTTTCATAAGAAAATTTGCAAGAAATTTTCTGCGAATTTTTAAATTTCACAATAGCTAATTATCCACGAAATTCTTACCTAACAATCAAAATTTGTAAAATAAATAGTAAAAAACACTTTTCCTACAAGTTTTTGTAAGAAATTAGCAAGAAAATTTCTATAAAATATAAAAAGTATAGTAGTAAAAATTTAAAATATTCATAGTTTAAGTTCTTGTAATCCAACATGAGTGTTTCAAATATTTCTCTTCCATCACGAGGGAAAGCATAAACATTAGATAGGTTTCAAGTTTGTAAAAAATTAAGTTTGTTAACTGTATTTATTTCAGCAGCTTCTTCCTTAGATGTTGTATATACAGCTATATTATGTTTTCAAATGAATGAGAACTCTTTCTTCTCTTAGGTCTCTATAAAAAAAACTTGCCAATATTTAATGTTTAAAGATTAATTTAAGTTAACAATTTTTTTATATATAAAAAAGTTAACAAGAAAATAATTGAATAAACTAGAGAGATTATTTTGATGGTAATCGCAATTAAACATAAAAAATAGCATATAAAAGGTTTACAATGATAAATTAGGAAGATGACCCGAAGGCTCCTTATAGCCAAGGTCAAAATTCAATTAAATTCATTAGAATGACATACAGTCAAAAACACAATACTAAATTTAAATATTATTTTAAATTTAAACTTTAAACATAGAGTTGAATTAAATACTTCAACAAAAAAAATATTTTTGGTTGTAATTACATAAGTACGATTTTCTTTCTGGAAGATACACGTTATCTAAAAAATAAAACAATTTTTAAATTAATCTTCCATCAATAGAGAAAAATTTCTTCTACA